AGCTCCAACTGAAAATATCGTAACAGTGCTCACTATTGTGACTAGCTTCGTGAGGAAATTCTCGGAGTTCTAGTTGAGATGACGTAACTAATGGGGATCAACCCTGTCGGGTGTAGGCAGTAACTACCGAAGACAAATGGGTGAGGTCACGCAAAATATCCGTAGATTAATCAGAGTTAGACATTAACACCGTTGGATGCCGGCTGAGTGGTCCGATGGTTAGGCGTTCGCGCACAATACCGAAGGTCCCGGGTTCGAATCCTGCGAGGTGCAGGATTTGTGGATGCGCACTGCTGATTTCGTCCCATACCAGGACTTGACGGTCGTCCAGTGGTTCCTGGTTTCTAATGATGTGGTCTAACAATGATTGATTGATGATTTCAAATGTGTAAAAACACAAATCGCCAAAGCTCTAACTGAAAATATTAGTATAAAGCTGCTTTGTATTTCATGATTATTTCGGATTAGACACTTGTAGTTAATAATTTTGTGTATTGTTAGATTAAAAAAACCACAAAAAAATTATAAAAAGAATTGTTTTTTTCTCCTATCTGTTTACATTCAATTTAAAAGGCAATGATTGAATTTATAAACTTCAATTTTTTTTCATATTTAACTATACGATGCACTTCACTGCTGTGTTAGTTAGACATACTGTCTGTATTCCCGAAAATCAATACAGGTGAAATTCGGTTCAAATGTGTATGACCTGATAAAAAGACATTTTTTTTTCTATTCTATAATATATACATGTTAATATTACTTTAGGGCTTAACCGGTGTAATTTGAAATAAATGCCGAAGTCGTAATGATACTGGGAGTAACAGATGACATATTATTATGATCATGGTTATTATCTGTGGGCAGAAGATCAAAGTATTACTATAATAGAGATTGGATTTAATTAGTCTTAACTATTTAAATAGATACAAAAATCGATAGAATTAGCAGTTTGAATTTTCAAGAGATTTTTATTGTTAAATATCTATGAGTTTGAATCCTGAATCAAACTATAAAACTAAGGGGTGATTTTGTTGACTTAATGGTTACTACTTTTGAGATCAAATATTTTTAAAGCTTATTTGTATCGAAAAATACGGAACTATTAAAACTAATGAGTAATATACAATGGAATTTAATGATAATTTGGGAATAAATACTTACAATCCCGCAATATATTGAACTGAAGGCTTCAGATTTTACGACTGGTTATGGTTTGAGGAGTTAATATAGTTGGTAATGAGGCAGTTGCCTACAAATGAAATAATATGATGATTGGAATATGAGATGAATCGATAACTGTTCAAAACCGTAGATTGATATTAATTCACTTTCTACAGTTTAAATCTTCCAGTTATTGGTGTTAGAAAGTGAAAATAATCAGTCTCTTTTAGAAAATATGGTTCCTGAGCGAACAGCCTCTTATATTGCAATCAGTCTAGCATCAGAAACTGGGTGGATAACGCTTTGAGGTTTGAAATGAAATGGACTGAGTCCGGGTCCATGTGTGGCCATTGACGAGTCCCGAACAGAGTGAAACTTGCCAGCCACTGTCCAACCCTGCTTAAAAAGTAGCTCAATGGAATACAATTTAATGAATAAAATGTGTCTTACTTGCTTCAGCAGTTTGTCCTTGGGGAATAATTTGAATTGGGGTTTTCGTTGGTTCTTCAAAGCAGTTAAACATCGGAATCAGCTTATTCTAATTAAACAAAACAATGAAAATTCAGTATTTTTGTTTTAAAATATAAATGTTTTTAGAGTTGTCCCTGTCTAGTGAAGTAGCTAAGCATAATACTTGTTAGAATTTATGTATTAGTAGATTTAGCCATGGAATAAGTTTCTTAAAAAACCTATTCCACGGCTAAGTCTTTGTCTGTCAAAGAATCTTCTATTTCAAATTTCAAAAAGTTAACTGTCTGACAGGAATTTGATCATGAAAAATTATAAGAATAAAACTCTTTCTAAGAAGTTATACTGGAAAATATGTATATAACAAATGGACTGTTAAACCTTTGAAAACTTTTTGTTTCGTGGAAAGATTTACTTTCTATAGATTCTATTGAAACTTATTACATTTTTCTTAAGTTATAAAATGGAAGTTAGTTAAGACATGACATGCTAATGTATTCTTTCACTCTTCTTTTGCTCTGTATTTAATGGTTTCAAAGATTTACAATACTAACTGATATAAAACTTTGGTGGAGGTTTATTATTTCATCCTTTTTGAAAGAACCCTGTCGGGTGTAGGCAGTAACTTCCAAAGACAAATGGGTGAGGTTGCGCAGAATCTCTAGACTAATCAGAGTTAGACGCTAACACTGTTGGATGCCAGCCCAGTGGTCCTGAGGTTAGATGTCCGCGCACAAGATCGAATGTCCCGGGTTAGGATGCTGTGAGGTGCAGGAGTCGAGGATGCGCACTGCTTATGAGTCCCATACCAGGACGAAACAGCCCTCCAGTGCTTTCAGGTTTCTAATGGTGGTCTAAAAATGATTGAATGATGATTTCAATGTGCAAAAACAATAATCTCCATAAGTCTAATTGAAAAATAATTTATATCTGTAATAATCGTCATGGTATTGACTACTTAACGTTGTGTATATCACGGATTAATAAAGGACTAGAAAGATATTTTTCCCGGATATAGGACTCTTCAGTAATAAATATCCACGATCCCATTGGGGATAGAAACCTGAATATTTTCTAAATCATGGTAAGCTCTTAACCTTCAAACATCTTAGCCATCATTCAATAGTGAGTATGTCTAACTTCAATCAATACCGTGAAACCATCCTCCGATGCTATTGGGTTGCGTCTGCTATACTGTCGACATGTTAGAATTCTTGAAATAATCTTTGGACATCAGTTATTAATGGAAACAGAGAGTAATTTGGTATCATTAAGTACGGAGTTTTCACATAATTTCAAAAATACTCGTCTATGGCAAAATATTTCCCACTGTTTGTAAAATAACTCACTTTATCGAGATTAGTCTAAATGACTTTAAATAGACCTTCAGAATATTTTTTAAACTCACTTTTGTTTAGTCAGAAAAAAAGTGATGTTGGTAAACGGATGAAATTATATATAATGTACATTTTTCATACTATTATGAGTTCATCTATCTTAAAGTGTTATGCATAGAAACTCGTTCAGGTGGTTGGAAATTATTTGTGAACCCTTATATTATACAAGTATACACATTTATGGGGTGAAATTTTTAATCAAATTTTCGAAATGGTGTTTATCAGTAACCACTTTGTGATGATATCTAGCTTCGTGAGGTAACTTGCACATTTTCCAGTTGTCCATCTACAAAGGTGATTTCAGTGAAAAAGATTTCTTGATAATAAGAAGACAAGTGAACAATTTCATGTTGCAAAAATTTAATTCAATAGCTTTACTGAACTTTCTTATCCTATATTCTGGAGTCTTTTGTCTGTTACACTAACAAATTTCTCAATCATTCTGTTTAGTTAGTTCTTTTTCAAAATCTCATTTTGTATTTCCAAGGAATCTAAACGTTTGAAAAATTACATTATTATTGTTATCCTCGTTGAAATTACTAACAACTAATGTAGGATCCAAACTGAGGTTTAGACTGAGGAATAACTGTCTAGGTAGTTTAGATGTTGAGTTCAAAACAAGTGATTTGGCTAAATGACGGTTCTAAACAATATTGCCAATCAGCTATTCCACCAACAATTGTTCAATTAATCAAATAAATGTTATTCTATTCCTCCTGGATAGATCAGATTCGTTCGACAGACAATATTTGGTTGCTTTATAACACAGAGTGTTTTTCTTATTCTGGAAGATTGCTTCAATTCACAATCAAAATGCACACTTCCAGTCCAAGCAAGCAACACAATCAAAAGAGAAACAAATCAACATGGCTGTCGACATGACTAAGTATCAGCTTAAACAACATAAATGCAGTTCAGAAAGAAACATCGAAACTCAGTGAAGGCAAAAGAAATAGAAACGATAGTAAAATACAAATATTATCCATTTTTGAAACCATGAGTCGATCAATGTAAGACCACCATTAGAAACCTGTAAGTACCGGACGGCCGTTTCATCCTGGTATGGGACTCATCAGAAGTGAGCATCCACGCAGGATTCGAACACAAGACTTTCGGCATTGTGCGCGAACGCCTAACAGCGGGACCACTTAGCCGGTGTCTAATGGTGTTAATGGTTAACTTGATCAATTCACGGAGTTGCGCAACCTCATACACAGACTTCAGTAGTTACTGTCAACACCCGAACAGGTCACAACTTCCCATCAGAACTCGGAGAAGATTCCTGACGAATCTAGTCACTAGTGAGCACAGGTAATTTGCATTACTAGATGCTGGTGCTCTAACATTGATCGATTCATGGTTTCAAAAATGTGTAACTTGACAATCTTCACAACCCCGTAATACAAATATTATCATCTCAAAATGGAATCGAACAGACTCAACAAAATGTACAACTGAAGGAATCTCAATAAGAACAAATTACAAATGTATATACATGAAGGGATTTTCCCAAACAAAACCTTCAGAAAATGAATCTGACATCTAATTCTAAAGCATACATCTGTTTTGTTATGGATTATACTTTTAAATAATTATCTCAAGTTTAATGAATAATATAAGATTTGTCAAAATGGAATTAGTTTATCTTGTTTTGTAAATTATTTGCAACAATCAATCGATCAATGTCAGACCACCATTAGAAACCTGGTAGCACTGGACGGCCGTTTCGTCCTGGTATGGAACTCGTCAGCAGTGCGCATCCACGACTCCTGAAACCCGCAGGATTCAAACCCAGGACCTTCGATATTGTGCGCGAACGCTCTAGCCGTCCAGTGCTTCCAGGTTTCTAATGGTGGTCTAACATTGATCGATTCATGGTTACAAATAAAACTTAACAATCTTCACAACAACCTCGCAATGCAATTGTAAATTATTGATTGCTTTTCAATTTTATTCTTTGCATTTTGTTAGGAAATTCACTTGGACTGATCACAAAGAAAATTATTCTTCCAGTTCTCTCCTTCATTGTCATCAATAATACCTAGTATAACAGTATATACAAGATTTAATTGAAATTTTACCAATGACCTTGTGTACACTATCAACTTATTCATCATCAACACATTTTTCTTATCCAGTCATTTTTATTGTATTGTTATTTTGTACATTTTTATTACCACCAATCAATTCTATTGGTTTTCGTGGCCCCATTGATCATAATATTTTTGCTGAAATTGAAGGTGATGCACCGAATTCCTCGATATGTCGACGTATGTTTACTAATAATACCGATACGGAAATTCGTTGTTTAATTGCTAAACATTTTCCAGGATGTCAATTTGATTCAGGCTTTTTACAATATCTAAGATTTCAATATTGTAATTTTGATGAACGTATCACTCCAACAATATTTATGGTAAGTTGTAATGAACAAAAAATAACATTTTAAAATATGTTTATATTTATTTGTATTTATTAAATATATTTTGATTGTTCCTAGATTTTGACAAATTTAATGGTTACATATAGAGTTATAGAATGCATAATTCAAATTTAGCTGAGTAGGTATGAACGAATTTTCAAGGTCGTTCATACAGTTAAGTTAAAAATGATTGTTAATCATTCTGATATTAGTGTTTAAATGTTAAAGTTAATTGCATTTAAGATCTATAAAACCGTTTGCAATGGTGCAGCTGTATTTATTCTTTGTGTTCTTTCAAATCTTAAAGTTTTTTCATTCCTCATCACCTTTATCATTTCCGTTTTAAGTTTATTTCATTAGATTCTACTTCTTGAATAATGTCTTCAAACTCTAATCTCGCCGATTACTGCTAATACATTTACTACCTCTACTACTACTATGGGATTTGAATTGACAATTACATCTCTGTGCTAATATGGTATGGCAACTTGAACTGATGTCAGTAAATACGTACGTACGAAATTCTACGTTGCTGTTGATTGATTGATTGATTTAAGATCTATCTGTGACATGTGTTAATCGATTTCATTCTGGTAATAACTGATTTATTAGAAAGTTGATGTGAACCAATTGATTTTCTTCCCTCATTAAACAAACTCTTTGGATTTCATTTAGTGTGAAACATTTCACATTTATCCAATGTAATGACTTGGCGTTTTAGTGTTCAGTAAGTACGCTAAGTCAGACGGTAAACGGGATAATGAAAAATGAGGAAATCTCTCAGGAAATTCATGTTATGCCAAGGATTTTTATGTAGATCATGTATTAAAGAAAATAATTCTTTTGAAGTGTAGATCATTAAGCTTCTCAGTGATAGCCATGAAGACTATAAGAATGATACAAGCTCAATATAATCGTGTCTTCTTCATATACTGACAATATAACCAAGCATGCATAGTGCTATAATGTTTTCGATAGCTAGTTCATTGTGTTAATGACTAAATTTGGTAAAATCATTTATTACGGGGTTGTGAAGATTGTCAAGTTACACATTTTGAAACCACGAATCGATCAATATTAGACCACCATTAGAAACCTGGCCTAGTGAAGTTCAACCTGTTTGGGTGTAGATAGTAACTAACGAAGACTGTGTATGAGGTTGCTCAACTCCGTGAATTGATCAAGTTAGACATTAACACCGTTAGATATCAGCTCAGTGGTCCCGATGTTAGGCGTCCGCGCACAAGACTAGAGGTCTTGTGTTCGAATCCTGTGGGGTGCAGGAGTCGCGGATGCGCACTGCTGAAGAGTTAAATACCAGGACTTGATGGCCGTAGAGTGGTTCCAGGTTTCTAATGGTGGTCTAACATTGATCGATTCATGGTTTCAAAAAAATCATTTATGCATATGATTTTAAAACGTAACACAATAAGTCAATGAAAGTGTAACGTTTGTAATTTTAATATGTCATCAGCTGTCGGTCACTTTCATTATCACAACAGTTCTAATTCGCTTTCTGCTTGAATAATTCTCCTAACCACTTGCATACTACACAAAGGCATTCTTTCGAAATGAAGAAAGCTATCTTATAGATAGCAAATGAATAATTACGAATGTGAGAAGAATGTAAGAGAGCAAATAAATACAGTAGTAAGTGTACACTTCATATAAGCGGAAAACGTATATTTGAGCATCTTGAAAATATATGAGCGATTTGAGGGCAGAAAAAGGCCAAAAAGCTTGAAAAAATAGGATTTTTAGTGTTTTAAAGTTTAAAATATGGACGAAGACCGAATGATGCAAATAAATAAGGTTACTAACAGTAATGAAGTGAAGAAACATAATATTATACTGCAAATGGACGCCATATTGAAAACTTGTATTCATTTGTTTATAATTCCTTCAAGTTAGGTGGTTTATTTAGGAATTGTTAAACATGCTGACAAATTTCAAGGTTAACTGAGGTCACTTAAAAAGCTAATGAAGGCCTAAAAGGAATTGAATACACTTGTAGTCTTAGTTTGCAACTTCTCATTTTTGGGCACTCACTAGTTTGTGAGAGATTAAGCTAAGTAAGCACTTTAAATTACAATCAAAGCACATCACTTTCAAGTCAGTGAGTTGAAATCAAGTGGTTTATATATACGACTACGAAGCAATTGAACAACAAGTATTGTCGTTTTTTGTAAGTGATGAATATATATATCACTACATGCATGATAAAACACTAATATTCACTATTTTTCATTAGAAATTCAGAGATTTAGGTCAGTCGACTCCTATAATGGCAATTTATTTACGGGTTTGTCAAAAAATTGCCGAATGACCGTTTAGTATAAAACTACAAAAGTAAATGATTGGATGCTGACTTAATGGTCCGAAGGTTAAGCTATCTCCACGAAATCTGAAGGTCCTGGGTGTAATCCCCAATGTATTCGTAGATGCACCTTGCTGAGGAGTTCTCGGGCAGGACAAAACAGATATACAGTTTTCCCAGGTTTTTGTAGGTCATCTAACAGAAATCGTGATATAAACCTTCCAGTCTGAAGTCTGTTTACGTCCCAATCTGATTTAATAAGAAGAGTCAGTAAAAGCAAAATACATTGGATAACTATTCTTGGACCGTTAGAATAATAATCACCATTGGTAACCTAGAAACAGTGGACAGCCGTTTTGTTCTAGTGTGGGTCTCATCAGCAGTGAACACCCACGACCCTGTGAGAGGGGATTGGACTCAGGACCTTTGGTCTAGCCTGCGAACGACTAACCTCTAGACCAGTGAGCTGGCATCCAACGATGTTGATGTCCAACTTCATCCAGTCTACGATATTATGCGACATCATTCATTCTAACAGTAGTCTAACGGTGACTAATTCATGATTCCAATGAAACCCAAGAATCTCCACAACCATAGATTGACTACATTTGATCTCAATAATTGATGATGTGTAAGTGTTTCAAACAAAAGGGGAATATTAAATCTCATTTGATATTCGTAAGCTACATCTATTCAAGTCTTCAAATATCATTGTACTATGAAATAAACTAGAAAGCGGTGGCAGAAGTTAACTTTTTATTTCAGTAGCTTTTCCACCTTAATTTCTGCATTCTATTGATTGTCATTATCAAAAATCATTATAATAAGCACTCACTTGAATATCACCAGAATGTGATTATTTTATTATTCATTTGGATAATCAGTTTACAGTGGTAATGAAGTTATTTTAACTAAAATATAATAAAAGAAGGAGAACATAAAGCCACAACATGATTTCATCTATGATTATTGTTAACAGTCATACAGTTGGTCGTTAACTATACTTAGTATTTATGTTGAATATTTTCTTATCGAGAAGTGATCAAATCTGAACCAACGCGAAGTTTAGTCATTAGATAATAAGCTGCCATCAACGACTGATTTTTTTTAGACCACCACTGAAAACTCGGAAGCAGTGGATAGTTGTTTCGCCCTAGAACGGGACTCCTCAGTAATGTGAATCTACAAACTCATATTGGGAGCAAACTCTAGATCTTAGGTTTCACATATGAGCACTTAACCTCTGTCGCACTCAGGCTGCATCCAGTGATGCATATATCTAATTTCGATCAGTCTGAGATTTTACGCGACTAGCTTTGATTGTCTGCTGTAGATAAGTGTCTCACACCTATCGTGGTTGAATCCCATTAGTCATAGCTTCTCATGACAACTGCAGAAATCGATTATAGAGGTTTGTCATTAGCGAAAGTAAATGAAATTTTTTCCAAATTTAGAACTTAAAAATCTGTTGGTTATCTATAATCAACACTATTTAATATATTCTGATATAATGCTGTTCATGTTGATTTATTATTCAAAATCACTGTAATGCAAAGATATAAAATTCACTGTTTTCATTCTGTTTTTGATGCATAATAAGTTCTCATTTGGCGTGCTTGCATTTTTCTATATAGTGTTGAGTTGTAACAGTTTTTTAGTTCAATTATAATAGTGTCATTATAGAATGAAAGAGGTGTCTGATGGTCTCTTGTTTTCTGTATTTTAAAAGTATCATTCTGGAAATACAAACAGTTCATTATGACAAAATTATTTACTTAAGCTAGATGATTTAGTTGTGAAGTCTTCAGTACTGTTTTAGACAAAAATCCTCAGCTGTTGCGTCATGTGGAAGCGAGCTTCTTGGTCATTTGATGATAAAACTGTCTTAAGGGGGTGTATTGACAACTGTTCTAAGTTCCAGATGTTCTCCGATTGTAGAAAGGCTGCATTTGCTTTGACATGTGTATCAAATCTCGCTTGTTTATCAGTGATGCTGCAAAGCTACGTTAGGTTTTTATTTCTTCCAGGATTCGGCGATTACGTTTGACTTAGTTGACACTGACTGTGTTATATTTTAGGATTTTGAAACCCGCTTTTGCAGTGGAAGCTGCCAGTCTGTCGGCTTTCATCTTCACTTGTTACTGTTTATAGGACAGTTGGGTTGAATCACAAGTAACACCCAAATAATCATTGGGGATGATGAAAACACTGCCACAAAAAATGTAACAAGACTTGTCAAACTTCATATTTAATCTAACCAATCAGTTAGATGAAATAAAACTATATTGACATTGATGCAGTTGGGTAAAATTGTTTAAACTCGTCAATTTAATATATGGTAGTAAAGTTAGCTAAAATTTGTAATTCTAATTTGTTGACTTTGAGTAACTTTAAGCAACTTGAGTAGTATCTTTATTTATTGATATATTTATAACTATCTAAGTAGAATTGCACAAACAGAATATGGTTTTGATAGTTTTAATCAAAAATCAAAAATATTCTGTGAATGCTCTAATATTTTAAAAAGCTTGGAACATCATATATTGTTTTAAACAAGTAAATCCAACACTACAATTGAATATATTGAATTTTGAAACTGTAAAACAAACAAATAAACGAACAATAATGCTTAACAAATAAAATACGAACTTTCATAAACTAAACTTATTAGTTTCAT